CCTAACTCTAATGATGGACCTGTTACATCTCAATACATCCTAACTCTAATGATGGATATGTCACACCTCAATACATCCTAACTCTAATGATGGATATGTCACACCTCAATACATCCTAACTCTAATGGTGGATATGTCACATCTCAATACATCCTAACTCTAATGATGGATATGTCACACCTCAATACATTCTAAAATATCCACCATTAGAGTTAGGATGTATTGAGGTGTGACATCATTAGAGTGTGACATATCCATCATTAGAGTTAGGATGTATTGAGATGTAACAGGTCCAGAATGTATTGATGTGTGACATATCCATCATTAGAGTTAGAATGTATTGATGTGTGACATATCCATCATTAGATTTAGAATGTATTGAGGTGTGACATATCCATCATTAGAGTTAGGATATATTGAGGTGTGACATATCCATCATTAGAGTTAGGATATATTGAGGTGTGACATATCCATCATTAGAGTTAGGATATATTGAGGTGTGACATATCCATCATTAGAGTTAGGATGTATTGAGACATATCCATCATTAGAGTTAACACCTCAATACATCCTAAATCTAATGATGGATGTGTTACATCTCAATACATCCTAAATCTAATGATGGATATGTCACACCTCAATACATCCTAACTCTTCAACTATATAAGGATAATGTTTAAACAACTCTGTTCAACTATATAAGGATAATGTTTAACCAACTCTGTTCAACTATATATAAGGATAATGTTTAAACAACTCTGTTCAACTATATATAAGAATAATGTTTAACCAACTCTGTTCAACTATATATAAGAATAATGTTTAACCAACTCTGTTCAACTATATATAAGGATAATGTTTTACATCACAAAAGCAGGGGGTTCGGCCGAATCTCCTCGAACACCCCCTGGTGCATGATTACAGCGATTATTTTAATTATGGATGCAAGCCGACCTGAAGACGAATGTTTTTGAAAAATTATCCTTCCGGTTCACCAAGTTCTATTTTTAAACGAAACGTCGATAACTTAAACTTTGAACGTATGTCTATCAGCCGTAAAGTGAAACGTTACAGAGATTAAGAAATTTTACTATTTTCATATCGTTTCGTATCGCAATGTTTGTGGTTCTGTGGATTATAATAGCCAGTTATAGCTCATGAGTTATAGCCAGTTATAGCTCATGAGTTATGGCCAGTTATTATAATAGCCAGTTATAGCTCATGAGTTATAGCCAGTTATAGCTCATGAGTTATGGCCAGTTATTATAATAGCCAGTTATAGCTCATGAGTTATAGCCAGTTATTTTAATAGCCAGTTATAGCTCATGAGTTATAGCCAGTTATTATAATAGCCAGTTATAGCTCATGAGGTGATTACATATCCGATTATTGCTTTCATATTCAATTAAAGTGCGTTTTTTAATCATTAGTTTCGTTTATCATATACCCTATGAATCCTATTTAGACACATTTAACACAAATAAAACATATCCTATGTTATTCTATAACAACAAAATTTGTTTAAGATCATAGGTATCGCTACGTACTTAAAATATTCTGAACTCCGGAACATAGGCAGGAGATCACGGTTTTCTATTCTGATTTTTCAAGACATCAACTGGGATTCAGAGCACTTTCAAGTATAATCTGGGGCCCGCGTGCCAGCGTCTAGCGACGCCTCTGTTTAAGATGACTTTGCTCAAAGTCTAATTTATTTAATGACAATATGCCTGAATATGTGTCTAAAAGCAATCCGTAATTAAACAGCTGAGACATTTTGTGTCTCACCATAAGGTTTAGAAACAATATCACGTGGTTTTACACAGATAATATTATTAATTATTATCTTTATTGATAAATGGAACTAAATTGATAATGAAGTCGTGGAAAACGTATAGTTTGAATACCTTAATATGTGTATGATATAAATATTGGACATATTGTTCATTATTTGGCCATAAACGACCGTAATGATAACATTGTGTGACAGTAACAATTTCTAGACTACTAATATTAAAAATAACACACCTGGATAAGGAAGAAGCTGTTTCTCATTTATTATTTTAACTTATTTGAAATAATTATTCATACACTACCTTCAAGACGTGATAGAAAATGAAACCAGTTTTGACAGAAGTATTTTGTGTTGTTATTTAAAATAAAATATTTTTAGCTACAAAACAGTTACGTTTTTTTATGATCAAAGAATATTCTTTTTGTAAACTTGATTAATTCCGCTAATACTACATGATATAATTATCGTTACAAAAAGAACAATAGCGATAAATAATTCCGCTAATACTACATGATATAATTATCGCTATTGTTCTTTTTTGTAAAGATAAATAATTCCGCTAATACTACATGATATAATAATAAATGTCATAGTTCTTTTTGTAAAGGTTATTAATTCCGCTAATACTACATGATATACATGACTTGGCTAGTAGAGCTCTCACCTTTCCAAAGAAGATACATTGAGCTTGTTAGAATTGAAAGTCCAAGAACCGAGCTTCATGTTGCAAGTATGTCTGTCGAAGGGGTAGCTTCTTAGACTAGTTGGGCAGTACACTTTAAAGGTAACAGGAGGATTCCACTTTACCAATCCTTCATAAGAAACTAGAACATTCGTGTCTCCTCTGGGATCAACATTAGAACCTACATCTGCACTATAAAGATAGAAAATGCTAAAAATATAAACTGAATAACTTGTAACCAATAACAGAAGCCATTACAAAACTGAAAACATATATTATTGTAATGGTTTCTGTTATTGGCTGAGTTAATTTGTATTTTCAATAGTAAAGAAATAACGCTAAGCCCGATCTACTTAATGATATAAAAAAATACGATTTATTACTTTAAATTCCACATAACCAACATTCACTGATAGGCTTAACCTCACAGAAATTCTGTTACTTGCTAATTTCGTATTTCTTCGTTGAAACAAACTTAGTATTCACGTTACTGAACTAACTAATTAAGTGACATTAACCTTTTATTATCCACAGAAGGCTTTTCTTTTTCATTAACATAATTGGCGTAAATGTACGGGTGGAGGTGATAAAGGATTAACTGACAAATCATGCACCAATTATTCATTAATTGTTAGACATCCAACACGGTGAAACCCGTAGCCAGCAGCATAAATCAGGTTGTAGTCAGTTAACTTGGTGAAACCCGTAGCCAGCAGCATAAATCATGTTGTAGTCAGTTAACTTGGTGAAACCCGTAGCCAGCAGCA